AAACCAAACGAATTCATATCAGACGTGACTTTTCGAGCTCTTGATTTTACACGATCGTCATCCAGTGTCGTTGTTCAGTCTCTAGTGGATACTCTTATGATCGAAGAATGGAATGTAAATGTCTCGTATGAATATTACTATAGGGCATGTGCTCCTCTTCATTGTACTTATTCATTGTACAAGCGGTTCGATAAATTGTATGTTTTTACTACCATTATCGGTCTTTCTGGTGGGTTGACTGTTACACTTAAAATTACCATTCCACTTGTAGTTAAATTTGCACGATATATTGCTATATATCGTCGAAGACGAGTTCGACCAACAGTTACTGTAATTGCATAAAACACTTGAAAAATCGGCTTTTGATGTTGTGTGTAAGATATTATTCAATAGATGTTGTTCTTTACTGGAATTCTAACATTTTCTTAAAGCAAAAGCCTATTGTAATATATCTATGCACATCTGTTCGTCTCCCTATTTTATTAAGTTTGAAAGCAGCATTAATAAAAGATATTTTGAAAAAAACTAAAATGCACTTGTTTTATTTAGCTATAGGTTTGTATAAGTGACCAGAAAAAAGAGTGATTTGATGTTAATAAAACTTCCAAGCATCACTAGTAATTTTTTCTTCCTACATTCTTAAATTTTTAGAAGATATATGATATATGTTACTATCTCTATTAAGTTATAATACTAAAACACTTCACTTGGTATCAGAATGCATCACATGCATAATGCTTAATTAGCTAATGCTTTCAACTTACAAGTCGTGATATGCTCTTCTGATATCAAATTGTTGGAACTTATAAAATAGTTATTTGATGAGTGAATTCAAATCGTGTTCACTTTAGTTTAGTACTTTTTATTGGTTAATTTTGAAGCTGGCAAAAATAGTCTAGAAGAGATCAGTAAAGAACGAAACACCAAGCAGTAGACTAATACAGTAATGCCATAGTTATAATATTAACAGAAATAACTGCGAAAACCCCGGAATTAAATCCAAGTGTTATGTGTACTTCAAAAAGTAAACAGGTATATTCACTTTTTTTTTTATCCTCTGAGAGACATCTAGGCAATTTGCTTTCTCAATGGAGTTTATCTACATTTTTAGACCTTTTTCAGCCGATGTTTTGATAGAAAGCTACAATTTGGTTCAAAATTATTATCAGATTCGGAATCAGCGTTAAAAACTGAGTCGATTTTTATATGTTGTGAATAATTCTGAGAAAAAAGTTGTTTTTTTCGAAAAAATCGTTGAACACCCCTCCCCCTTAGGGATAGCCTGGTCAATGATGACAATTTTTTCGATAACTTAGCGAATTCTTGACGGATCCTTCTCATCTTCGAACTCGACCGAGACATTGGTAAGCCTGAACTGTGTAGAAAATTTCATCATGATCTGACTCTCCTTTCGGAAGTTATTGTGTAAACGAACGGTCGGCTGGGCACCCTGACCGATTCTAGAGTGTACTCACTTTTTGAGTACACAAAAAGAGTAGTAAGTAGTAAGTAATGATTCCAGCGTATCATCAACATTTCATTATTTTAATGCACGTTTTATTACTTCTCATTATGATTAGAAATTTAATTTAAAATTTCACCACTCGCATTAGAAATGTATTGGCATAAAAGTGATGATTCTAGTTTCCAAAAAAATTGATCTTCTATGAGAAGCTGTTTCCAATAAAGGAACTCAGCGTTTCTTTGCTTAAAAGAATTTATCATAATGGGTGTGGTTATCGATGTAGATGAGTGGCATCTCCTCCATTAAACTCGTACCCACCCACACCCACATTTAGATTCAGACGTAGGTGAAGTTAGCGTCAGATTCGAGTAATTATGTCGCCGATTAGCCCAGGAACATGTTCCAAGTGTTCCATTTTCGTTCCAAGTACAACTCGATGAGCTCTACTCAATGGTGTATTTGGAGTTCCTTTAGCCCAAGCTTCGTGTCTAACAATTAGGAAAAGGCGGCCTCAGTGTTAGAAGTCGTAAAGTAAAATTTCCAGAGACATGCCGAATGATATGTTCTGCGTTGTCTAGTTGTGTTTGAAATATAAACTGGTGAGCCGCTTTGTATAGTATAATTAGATTTTCAATAACTGGTACTACATGTTCAACAATCCGAAAATACAGCTACAAAACTGTGGAAAATAATCAGCCATATAGACATTTTACTCTCGGTTCATTTGGAATCGATTTTTATTGTTCTAGTTGTGTTCGAATTATAAGACAATGAGCTTTATCGAATGGTGTCATTGGATTTTTTTAGTGTAAGCCATTTCCTCGGAGGATGAGCACTTTAGATGAAACCAGTCATGTTCGTTTCGTAAATTAGTTGAAGATTCGTGCCGAGATTTGTCAGCGGACTCTTTATTTTTCATTGGTTGGTTTGAATGAGTTTCTAGTGGATCTTTTTCTGTCCATTTTCGAATAACTTTTTTCGTGTTGTATTTTCTGAAGATGGATGCTTTTTGTTGATAAAGGATCATTCATGTTTTACATGATTCTTTCTAGGGGTTTGAATATATGAGCGAAATGTTGCCTAGCATTGTGTTTTACTTTGGATCTGTGATTTAATAGTTGTTTGACATACTGAGACAATGAGATCACAGTGAGAGATTGAAGGTGTCAAGTCACATTTTGTAGAAAGGATTTTACAATTTTTTATTCTTGAAATCTTACATGGGAGAAAAGCTGCATACAAATTAATGCTTTAATATATAAACAGCTGTTTCAACACAAAAAGGCAAATGATCAACTTGTTTGACACCTTCAAGATCATTGTATAGGAATAATCACTTCGAAGAATCGATAATAGTTGTAGTGAGATGATCAAGTTCATGGTTGATTGTTGATCGCAGCTTATATCTATACAGGGTGGCCCAAAAGTAAGGAAAAACTGTCTTTTTCTCGATTTTTGTCTAATACTTCGTCAGTTATGGCTCATATTTATACCATAGATACATTATTGATTACTTAACTTACTCTGAAAGTTTCAACCCTATAGAATGAGAATTCGTTGAGAACATTACAAATATGTCTCATGTACTCAAGCACCAGTCAACCAAAACTTGCTGTTTTCTTACTAAATTTTCTTTTCTTTCTGTTCTAAGTACTGCAATTTTTGATCGATAAATCCGCTTCAGCAGATTTTTTCTAGACATTGTGCAAATAATTCTATTCAAAAAGTTTTGAATGGTAAGAATGACACTGGAAATACCTAAATCAAAAGGCAAAAGTTGATAGCATTGAGAACAGAAAGAAAAGAAAATTTAGTAAGAAAACAGAAAATTTTGGTTGACTGGTGCTTGAGTACATGAGACATATTTGTAATGTTCTCAACAAATTCTCATTCTATAGGGCAGAAACTTTCAGAGTAAGTTAAGTAATCAAAGATGTATCTGTGGTATAAATATGAGCCGTAACTGACGAACTATTAGATAAAAATCGAGAAAAAGACTGTTTTTCCTTACTTTTGGGCCCGCCTGTATAAAAGAAACCAAGTTAAATATTTTGATCTCTTTTCAAAGAACAAAAGTGTATATTACAGAAGTTTGAAGTGTCAAATACTGATATCATTGGTTGAGAGAACAGAAATTATGATAATAAGTTTTGCATTGAAAATTGTGATTTAATCTCAAGTTCAAAGGTGAATTCCATGTAGTTAGTATCTCTTTCGTGGCAAGTACTTAAAAGAACGACTAGAATTCGTTAGCCAAATATTTTCTTTGACACTGTGACGACTACGGAATGTAAGAACAGTACTGATTTCACTGTTGACTTTAGAGGAAACGTACCAATATTAAAATACTGAATCAAGAATAAGTAATTTTTTTTTTATTAATGAGGGGGTTCTATTTGACATATTGATTATATAGATCACAACATTGACGTTATTTTTTATTAATTGAGGGATCCCATTTGACGTATTAACAGTGTGGATCATAACATTCATGTCTTCGTAATTTAAGGCGTAAATTGTTTAATAAATTCTATTCATATTGGAAAGCTTTTCAATCTGTATCATGACAGTTCTGTCAATAAATTTTCTTTTCTTGTATTTTTAAGGTAGGTCCATTAATTGATATTAATCCATAACAATTTCTTTATTGAAGATGTTAGCTGTGAGTGTGGGTGGGTGTGAATAGGTGTGGACGTGGATGGGTGTGGGTGCAGATCAGTACTTCGTTGATATCTATATTCACAACCCATACCCACATCTTCACCTACACCCACACCCCACACACCCACCCAGAGACGGATTTAGGGCAGAGAAAGGGGTGCGACGAAACGATAGCACCCCTCTTCGAGAAAATGTTTTCAATTTTCCCACAAGAAATGAACGAAAAACAAGCTTGTACTACCTCAAATATATTTCAAAATGTGTTTTTTGCATATGATCGCACCTCCTCTTTCAAAATCTTAGATTCACCACTGTCTTTTACGAAATATTGAAACAAATATTTTGATTAAGAAATGAAGATAGTATATATAAGAAAAAAAGAATATATTTCCATTATATATTCGTTTTATTGACCGTATTCGGTCTATCAACAAGTCTCGCAAAGTCGAGAAATAATGGAAAGTATCATTCTGTAGCAATATTATTTCTCTTCAAAAAAATCCAACATTTAAACATAAAAAAATTGTCTCTGTACACTAACTAATT